CCTTGTTCAGGCCAACTGTTCCTGTGGGTTTCTCCAACCTGGTACAGACACCTTTGATCTTCATTCCTCCCTCTCTTCAACTAAATTCATTTCAGTTCACCATTTCAGCTCAGTGTATATCTGTGGATGTCTGTCTCTGCTTCCATCAGCCACTGGATGAGGGCTCTAGGATGGCATAAAGAGAAGTCATCAATCTCATTTTAGGGGAAGGGCTTTTAGGTTATCCTCTCCATCACTGCCTGGATTGTCAGATCGTGTCATCCTTGTAGGTCTCTGGAGATCTCCCTGGTTCCAGATCTCTTCTAGGACCTATAGTGGCTCCCTCTGATATGGTATCTCTCATCCTGCTCTCTCTCCTCTATTCTTCTCCAACTCAATATTTCTGCTCCTCCATTTCCTCTCCTCTACTCCTCTTCTCTTGCTCTTATTGTAGCTCCCCTACCCTCATGCTCCCAATTAGCTCAGGAGTTCATGCCACTTCCCATTCCTGGGGCTATTTATCCCTTAGAGTCCTTCATGTTTCCTAGTTTCTTTGGTGAAGAGGATTATGTATATACCTTATTAATGAAGGGTGATAAAGTCACTAGTAGCAGAAAATTGTAGGAAGAAAAACAATTATGGACATAGGTTAATTTAGTAAGTCTGTATATTTTATGTCCACTTTTTATTTTCACCACCATAAAATTTCCCCAGTCTTCATTTCTCAGAAGTTTTTTGCTTTAATTGGATAGAAGAAACTCTAAGAAGGCAGCTGTTGGTTCTCAGTTACCTTCAATTCAATGTCAAGGTAGGATGTCCTCCTTCAATATTTAGAGAGGAAAGTGTGCAGATAAGAGCCTTAATCCCACGATTCTGCCCTTAACAGACATACCTGGAACCTCACTTTCATTTTCTAGAAATCGAGGCAGCTCGAGCATCTAAGCATTCACACTACTTTAGAGCTACTCAGTAACTGCTCTTGAGAACAGAAAAGACGGACACTCTTGGATAACTGTATTTGCCCATTTCTTCCAAGACGGTTTAGAGTTAGGGCTTTCTGCCACATACTTCAAAAACCTCATTGTGATACTTATGTAACCTGAGATTGGCTCTAATCCTGAGTGATTGAAGCGATGTGTGTTGGAAGGAGATCTGTGGAGGAGGTCTTCCAGCACGGAGAAGGACCTGAGAAATGTCTGTTGCTCTTTCAAGATCTGGTCGTTTTTCAGGTATTAGCTAGTGCTTCCCAGTGAGCCTATCACAATTTCTTTTTAGCCCGAGTCACAGTTGGCCCAGGCTAACTTGGGACAAATCACAAGTCTTTCCTTCTTATGTGAGGTGGAGACAGACAGCACTGACTGTGACGTCGACCAGAGCTAGGAGTTCACCATCTGACTGTGCCATTTAAAAATTTCCACAAGTAGTGATACCTAAGTACTTACCTTCAATGTGTGCCAGCATCAACAGAGCTGCAAGACAGACCTCTCAGAATGAGGGCATGTGGCTGCTGTCTCTGTTTACACTTGTTTTCATTAAGGACACTGTGGATTTGCCTTGCGTGGTAAAACACCCTGAGTCTGGTTCACTGCACGGGGACCTGGGCCTCTGGAGCTTGTTCATGCCAGGTGAGGAGCCGTAGCTCTAGTCTTACTTTCTGTTCTATCACTGTGAGGAGATACCACTACCAAGGCAACTTAGAAAAGAAAGCATTTAATTTTGGGGCTCAATTAGCGTTTTAGAGGGTTAGTCCATGATCATCATGGCAGGGAGCAGACAAGCATGGCACTGGAGCAGTAGCTGAGGGATGAATTGGTCTTGGAATGGCTTCTGAAACCTCACAGCCCATTCCCAGTGACACACCTCCCCCAACAAGGCCACACCTCCCGACTGTTTCCAAACAGTCCAACAACTGGGGACTAAGATGAAAACATGAGCCTGTGGAGGCCATTCTCTTTCAAACCACTACAGCTATCTTACAGGCTTCTTCTGAAGCATCTTTTTATGTTTTACAGGAATCTGAATTTCTGTGTCTGGAGTTTGATGAGGTTAAGGTCAAGCAAACCCTGAAGAGGCTGTCAGAGGTGGAAGAGAGTATCAGCACACTGATGCAAGCAGCCTGACTGAGGTGTTGAAATGAAGGTGTTCGTGAACCTCACCCCTGACCCTAAAACTCCTGTTTCTCCATCGGTGTTACCAAAAGACATTGCACACATGTGTGAAAGCCTCAAAGAATAAATAAAAAATATATTTTAAAAGGTGACTAAAAAAAAAAAGAAAAAGGCTCCAATTCAAATCTCCCTGTCTCCGCTTGCTGGCTTCTTTTACTCTCACATCTGTCCCATTGGAGAGGTTCCCATATTTTAGCATGCACAAGGATTATGAGGAGCATTCATAAAAAATACTGAAATTAAAAAGGAAGCTTCTGGGGATATGGCTCCATGGTAAAGCATTAGTTTAGCGTGACAGGAGGTAGCATAGACTCACCTCAGAGTCTAGCTTGGGCCTAGTGAGATTCTTCTGGGACTGAGTGATGTAGTTGAGTTGGTGTTTTGTAAATCTAGAGGTTGGATTTTATCTCAGTAAGGATATGCAATTTTCTAAAATTACATTTATATTCTGGGGGCGGGGGGGGGTACATGGGCCATGGCATACCTATGGAGAACAGAGGACAAGGAGATTTAGTTCTCCCCCTCTGTAATGTGGGTTCTAGGGCTTGAACTCTGCTCATCAGGAATGGCAGCAGGCCCCATCTCACAGACAGGGCAGGCACACACACACACATGCATGAACACACACACACATATGCATGCACACACAGGAGAAGGACACCCGAGGTTAACCTCTGGCCTCCATGTGTATGTGCACACATGTGCACACATACTAGACCTCAGATGTATCCATGCACATGCAAACATGCCTGTATACACAGAGAAAGAGAGGAACTGTTATAATGAACTGAAGTATGTTAATGGACAGAATGCTTGAGGCAATCACCAGGGTTGGTTTGGCTCACGGTTTTGGAGGTTTCAGCCCCTCGTCACTTGGCTTCCTTGTTTGGGGCCTGAGTTGAGGCAGAGGATCATGGCAGAAAGCATGTGATGAAGCAAAACCAAACCCTTCCCGCAGCCAGGAAGTATGGGGAGACAGAAAGAAGCAGGGTCTCCTCAAGGGTGTGTCCCTAACAGCCCAAATTCCTTGCACCAGCTCCTACCTCCTAACAGTTCTTCTTTCTCCCAAACCTTCAACTCAGGGACTCCTGGGGAAAATCCAGGAACAAACCGCAAGCAGTTTCCAAACACCAAGAATATCCCAATAGAAGGAACTTTAGTCCTTGTTGAACATGTTTGTCATCTGATACTGATACGTGGAGATCTTAGTTGTTTTTGGGTTATGCATTTAAAATGCTGTTCTCTTGGCCTGTGGTAACAGCATTGCAGGTCTACTGAGTCTACCCCCTGGTCTTCTGTCAGGAGACACTGTGAAAACTTGCGATACCCTCTGAAAGAACTAGCTCCTTCCTTATTGAAAGGAAGAAGTTAGAAAACAATGACCAGAGGCTTTACATGTACTCCCCACCTCCCCCAGAGCCCTGCAGAAAACATCTTGAAATGGTACTTAGAGTAGATCCAGAAAAAGTATGTGGTTTAGAACTAAAAGCTATAAAAGCATCTTCTTTTCCCAGGGTACTCCCACATAACCTAGAATTTAGGTAATGTGTCCTGCTGGAGGATGGAAGAGAAGAGCATTTGATGAGATAATGGGACTGCAGACGGCTGTGCAAGGAAGGACGGTGGCTGCCCCGTTAGTGTTGACTCGCAGGCCATGAAGGTCTGTGGGAGTGAGAAAGAACAGTCCATGTCCACTCACTGTTGTGGGTCGAAACTCAGCTGAGCTGTGTCATAGCCGCACAAGTGACACCGGGTCATCAGAAAAACTATTGTTAGTGTATATGGAGTTCTCTAAAATATTTTTTAGAAAACAAAACTGGTTCCTGAAGATAGTCTCCACATTTCATATTACACACTTCTGAATAGATGTTTTAGACAAGGTATATTTTATACTTACTGATTTTTAAAAATTTTTATTAAAGTCAAGGAGTAATAAATAATATTTACTATAATACAACAATATAGAAACATACTAAGAAAAACAGTTAAATGACCTATCAACCAAACATACAAAGACAGCAAGAAGAGTCTGGTTAAAAAAAAAAAAAAGTGATTTTGTACCCCCCTCGTGTTTTAGGTGCAGAGAATGTGGTTTTAGGACTTGTAAAAGCATGGCTAGAGGGCTTTTCCGAAGTACAGCCTGCCACTTCTCCCTAGACAGTGTGAAGGGTCCCCTCCCTTCTGGATGAAGGCATAGTATCCTTTCTTTGTATTTCCTAGAATGGTTGTTTTTGTAAAGTTTTGTAAGGGACACTCTTTCTCAATGAGGGACAGGCCATAAACACTATCAGGAAGGTCTCAGCCCACTAGGTTTCTATGCCTGAAATCCTAGAACTGCCTTGAGGTAAGGAACCAGGGGATACAGTAAAAATGACTGTCAGCCTGAGCCAGGCCTCATGGGAATTGCTCCTGCTATGTGGTGAACATCCTAGCATCCATCTATAGAACAGCCCAGCCAAACAAAAGCTAGCTTTCAAGTCAGGAGGATTGCTATCCAGGCTTTTATAGCTTCATATCAGTAAGTGAAGGCTTTGGCCCAACCCTCAGGTCTGGCTGTTCTTGGATGCTCCGACTCATATCAGCTGTATTAGCTAAGGACCAAATCCCACCACTATAGCCTTTATGTAATCTCTCTTCAAAGAATGGCAGCATTTTAGAACACTGTAGTTTAACTATTCTCCCCAAATGCAAGACGGCAGAAGCGCAAAGGCTGACATGAGCACCTGCAATCTTAAATAGCTGACATCGTGTCAAGCTATTCATTATTGAAGTTCTTTCTTTAGAACTGGCTGAAACTTTGGAGAACAGAATATAAATAGAAATGAAAGGAAAATGAATGTTGACAGATAGAAACTGCCTTGTGACATGCACAGTTAATACCCAGACCAGGGGTAAATATTCAGATGGAATCCTTGGGTTAGCTGAGAAATTGTCAGACACCTGCCTTAAACCTTAGCTTCCCGCCTCTACAGGTAAGATGTTTTAGATGGGATTTTGCCACAGTAGTGTGTACCTAGACAGAAGCTAACTAGCTTAAGCTAGACTCTCATTGATCCCCCAAATTGGAAAAATAACAAGTTTCATCTCAGTTTGATTGGTTCCCCTTCATATGGAGGTGGTTATTATTGGCTCTCATGGCATCACAGCTGTATGAAACACCAAGCTAGCCTTGGTTACAAAGGAACTGCCATAGTGTGCTTCCTGTATGATAAGGTGTCAAGTGACATCGTTTACAAGCTCAGTACAGCCGTATCAGAATAAATTACAAAGCTGTACATAAGCAGATGATTAAATATGAAAATTAATATCATTTATTTGCTAAGGACTATAATTAGGTCTTGATGTTCTTTCTCTGTTTCTCTTCACCTGCTTGGAACTGGTTTTTTGTTTCCTGTGGGTATTAGGGGCTCAAATTCTGTTGATTTACAAGATGTAGGTGGGGAGGCCTGGAGGAGGGTACGTTTGATTGATTGTTCAGACAGAATGGAGTGAAACTTAGCTACAAAGATTCTGAGGGCAGTTTTTTAAAAAAACTAAACTTTTAAAACTCCACTTTACTGTTTTGGTTTGGTTTTTTGAGACAGGGTTTCTTTGTATAGCCCTGCCTGTCCTGGAACCCACTTTGTATACCAGACTGGCCTTGAACTCAGAGATCCCCCTGCCTCTGCCTCCCAAGTACTGGCAGCTGTTTTTATATTAAAGAAATGTGAAGCTATTCTATTATTTATACTCTATCCAGAACCATGACTACGGATTGGCACAGATCTCAGAATGACTGATGTTGAAACAGGCAGAAGCTATTTTAGCCTCTTGTTAAAAATGAGGAAACATCTGGATAGATTGTCAGCAAACTTGTACAAGGGCATGGTCAGGATGGCCAGGAAGACATTTCAGGGCTGCTGTCTTCCATCTCTGTTCTACCTGTCAGAGATGTCACAAAAACATATAATCATAAAATAAATAATAAATAAATAAATTTGTCCTTGCTCGTTGTGTCTAGATATGCCTTGCAATGAGGATGTTGGTTGACACATGAGGACCTGGCATGGGCCACTCTCATTTGCATTCTTGTCCATATCAGGTCTGTCTGTACTTGAGGCTACTACTGATCTTTATACAGCCTGGTTCTATTTATGACACCCTTGGTCTCACTTCCCACTCAGTGTCACTCATCTCTGAGGGCAATGTACAACATGCATGGGGCTTCCTGGCTGTCCACTGTACCCAGGCAGGTGGCTGTCCTTATCCTCCCTAGGCAACCAGGCTTCCTGGACACAGTTTAACTCTCGGCTGTTAATGAGTTCTAGCATCGTCCCTGGTGAGCCCCGGAGCATCTGTGCTCTTATTTCGCAGCAAGGCCTGCCTGCCTGCCCTGCAGTAGAAAAGGGATCAAGTTTTCTGGAACTTCAGTTTGCACATGCTCATGAAACAAGGCTTTATGTTTTATTTATTTTATATAACATTTATTTTTATTTTTTGTGCATTGGTATTTTGCCTGCATGTATATCTGTCTGAGGCTGTTGGGTCCCTTGGAACTAGAGTTGCAGACAGTTGTGAGCTGCCATGTGGATGCTGGAATTGAACCTGGGTCCTCTGGAAGGACAAACAGTGCTCTTTTTTTTTTTTCTTTTTTTTTTCTTTTTATTCTTCTTCTTATTATTAATTCAAGTTAGGGAACAGGCTTGTTTCACATGTAATTCCCCTCTCCCTCTCCCTCCCCTCACCCCCATTCCTTCTCCCCCACCTCCAACCTAC